TAGAATGGGCAAAACTGAAGATTGGCAAGTTCAAATATTGGCAATGATATAGAACAACAGGGATTCTCCTACCTTGCAGAATGCGGAATGGTGTAGGTCTTTGAGAATACAGTTTGGTAGTTACTTGTAAAGTTGAACATTTGTTTACCATTTACTCAGCAATCCCAAATTCAAAAAAAGATTTGTAGGATATGTTTATAGCAGCTTTAATTATATATAAGCAGCCCCAAATTAGAAACAACCTAGATGTCCATTACCAGAAGAATGGGTATACAAATTGTGGTATATTCATGCAACGGAATACAACTTGGAAAGAGAAAAGGAATACCTGTGATACACGGATGAGTCTCAAAAACCTTTGTTTCAGTAATGAGACTATATAAATATCTCAATAAAAGTTTTAATTAAACATGTTAAGCCAAAAAGTCAGATACAAAAGAGAACATACTGTATTCTTTTTATATACATGAAGTTTTACAAAAGGCAAGACCTATTTATATTGAAAAAAATCAGAACAGTTGCATCCCCCAGGACAAGAGGATTCACTGGGTTATGGCATGAAAATTTCCTTGAAGGAAATTTCCAGGGAATTGTTCTATTTCTTTGTTGTGCTGTTGGTTATGTAGGTCTATACATACACTTGAGATTTGTGTATTCTATATAAAAATTATACCAAGTTACAAAGAAAAGATATTTCCATCTTTCTAACTTGCAACTTAGATTTTATTTTTATTGACTCCATTCAAGACGTAGATCTTTATATGAGCAACCTTATATAAGCAAGTCTATATATTTGGAAGTTGATTTCTCTTCTTTCTCTTGCTTTTTGTTCCCTTCTTTTTTCTTCTGAAATCCATAGGAATGTGAGAGAAGGTAAGTGACCAGTACACACAAAACTATAGCAGAAAACTTGTATCAGAATTTTGTCATTTGGACCTTGTGCAGGCCTATAATTTGAATGTGTGACTCTAGAAATGGTTGCTATGGTGATAAACCACTTTACTTAAATAGCATGTATTTTACTCAAAATTCAGAGAAATGGTAACAGTTTCTAGTAATCATGCACTGGTATTAACTTGCAGGGATATGCCTAGAGCTTACAGGTTTTGCATCCATTATCACCAGATAAGTTCATCAGGTTAAAGCTATGTCAGTGAATAATGAAATATGTATATTTAGCCTAGTTTTCTTGTTACATATCTCCCCTTGCACACATGGAGCCCCCTTTTCAAGATTAATAATATGAGCTGGAGAAATCAGGCCAAGGGTACTGAATTACAAAAAGGTGAAACTGAAGGGAACCTTGTAAGGTCATCTTTTCCATCATTCTGCCTCCAGAAGAACTGGCTATTCTTCAGCCGTCCCAAATGGTATGAATTTCTCAAAGATGAAGAACAATTGAAATGCTACTTGGGACAGCCCCTGGTGTAACTAACCATCCTGACTGAGTGCAGCATTCAGCAATGCCATCTGGCTCCACAGTGCTGAAATCTTCCCCTTCTTCATTTGATAGATTTTGAATATATATCCTCTTATTCTTTATCTTTTGAGATTGAAGATCTCTCTTATAAAGAAACCTCTACTCCTTCATCATATTAGTAGCCTGTCTGTAAACATTCTCTGGTCCCTTTATATCTGTTCAGGCTGGTTGCAATGTTTCAGGTTTGAACTCAATCACAATTTTATATAAGGATAGAACATTTTTTCTTTGATTTCTAAGATGCTTTCTGATGATAGCCAGATTTTCTTGACTACTGTGTAATGGTACATTAGACCAGTATCTTTATCTTCAGAGAAGAGTCTACAATGATTTTTAGGTTCTCTTATTGCACTGATAAATGGATAACTGACAGTCTTATAATGATAATTTAGAATCTTGCTCCCAGAACTGAATATTGAAATTCCTCTGTCATCTTTCTCCCCCTTTATACAATCTTACAGGAGCTCATCGTCTTCTATTTGCTTTTCATGACCTGGAAGATCTTATAGCCTTGGCAATTTCATTTTTCATTTCTCTGTTCTATTACTTACAAAACCCTAAAATTGCATCAGTGACAGCATACATCCCTGAGGAATGCTACCAGCTATGAGAGAAGAAGAGGAGACACCCAAAACTTAGATGATCTATAACCTAACAAAAGAAATCCCTGAAAAATTAAGATTTGTTCATGTTCCTAGATAAAGCCTGGAAGCTGGAATTTGCCTTGGCCATTTATTTTCTAAGGAGATGAGAGGCTTGACTCTTTGTGAAGAAAACTACATGGCCTGAGAGTACCATGGTGGCCATTCTACATCCTTGTTCTATCAGGGAATGGTTTCAATGGGGTGATATTTAAGGGGGACTCTCAGACACTTTAGAAAAACTATTAAGATTCTGCTTCCTAAACAGTGGCATCCTAAACTTAATACAACTGCAGATTAGCTAAGAGAAATGGTAAGATACACATACACATACACAGTATTTTACAAGGTAAACCCATACATAGAAGCTCAAAGCGTTTGCAGTAAACATTTGCATAAAGGTAAGTAGATCTGCACTGATATTACCAGGAAGTGAAGGAACAATGTTGTGATTTGTTTTAGTATAGCCAGTTTGGGGCTATTTAAATCAAATTAAGGCTAGAAGCAGTGGCTCACACCTATAATCCCAACACACTGGGAGGCCAAGGCAGGAATAGTGCTTGAGGCCAAGAGTTTGAGGCCAGTCTAGACAACAGAGACCCTGTCTCTACAAAAAGAAAAATTAGCCAAGTATGGTGTTGTATGTACATTGGTAACCCCAGCTACTTGGGAAGCTGGGTCAAAAAGGATTGCTTGAGCCCAGGAGTTTGAGATTGCAGTGAGCTGTGACGGAGCCACTGCATTCCATCCTGGGCTATAGAGAGAGACACTGTCCCTAAAATACAAAACCCCCCACCAAATTGACAAAGAAATATGAAAACAGGCACTTTTATGTGCTGCTGGTGAGAGTATAAGTTAGTAAAGCTGCAATAGAAGGCAATATGGTGATTTTCAAAATTATAAATTTATATACCATTTGACCCAGGAAATCCATTTCTAAAATATATATCCTATAGATATACTTACAAATATGCAAAATGACATAAGCTCAAAACTATTGACAACAATGCTATTTGTATTAATAAAAGACTGGAAAAAACCCCAAATGTTCATTATGAAGGGACTGCCTAGTAATTATAGTGCATCTAAACAAGAGAATACTACACAACCACAAAAAGGGATGAGGACATTTTATGAATTGACATAGAATGATCTTCAAGGTAATCACTGTTTGAAAAAATCAAGGTATAATGGCGCTTTTTTCAAGTTGGCTACCATATGTATTGAAAAAGGGGAAGAAAGCAAGCATGTTGATAGATGAGTTAAGCCAAACCATATGAAATTGCCATTATTAGACTGAGTTTGACCTGCAGCCAATGGAAATGACAGTTGGTCCATTATCATTTGATTCCACCTAATATTTACTTGAAGATGCATAAGATCTCTCTGGAACCAGACACTGTAAATCTACAATATTGGTTGTCTTTGATAGGGCAGAGTTGAGTTAACTAGAGTGGAAGGAATATTAAATTTAATTGTGAATATTAAATTATGAGTATATACTACCTATTTTAAGAAATAACTAAAATTATGAATAAGCGTGACTAAGGAATATAATTTTCTCATCTTGCTATAGAATGAAATAGAAAAAAAGCATGTTTCTACACCAAAGCAACTAAACACTTTGGTTTAGTTTTCTTTTTCCTTCCACTTTGTCAGGAAATTCTGATAATGATCTTCAGGTATTGTATCCAAGAAGAAAGTACCAGAGCCTGTAGCATTGGGGGGGAAAAAGAAAAAAATTCCACAGAACTAATCCTGTCCACAGAGACTGTTTCTGAGTATTTCTTACCGGCTACTGTAACTTCTAAGTTTAATGACTTGAGTACATGAACAAATGGAATAGTGAGAAAGAATAGAAACATTAAGCTAGAGGTAAATATGAGCACAGTAAAAAGAAGTGACTGAGTCTCCGTTCCCATTCTATAGAATATTAGTTGTGGACATGTTGAAAAAACATCTCCTTAACTGCTTGGATGATAACTCACAATCCAAGGAGAAATGTCAAAAGAGAGAGGGTTACACTTAGGTTCACCTTTTAATAGGATTTGTATGCAAAAAACTAATTAAATTTTATGAAGTGCTTTCATGACCACTCTTTTTTTTTTTATTGAATGGTAACTATGTACATTAATGCACTTCTGGGGTACAGTGTGGGATTTTCACATGCAATCCAAAATACTTCCATCAAACTGGTCAACACAGCCTTCATGTCATTTTCTCAGTTATTGTTTTAAAACGTTCACATTCTACTCTTAGAAAGATTCACTTGTACCCCTATACATGGCCACTCTTTAAATACATTATTGTGATAACCCCTGTAGTAAACATGGAAATAACTATTTTCTCCCATTTTTAACAGTGAAGAATTGAGACTTGAAGAGGTCTACAGACCTAACCAAGTGATGTGACTGAAATTAGTAGCCAGTGTCTGGAGTTAATATGGAAAAATGAGAGAGTGTGGGTGTGGGCCATGTGCAGTGCCTCTGTGCCCAGTTTGGAAAGAAGAATCACAATGTACTTGTCAGGGTATCTGTACAGAAATCTGTAAGGATGAAATGAGATGAGAACAAGCATGTCCAAGTGGACTTCCCTATATAAATGTTTACTTTCATTTTTCAGGGCAGAGGTTTTGAAATTGGGCCTGTAAAGTCTGCTCCACACCAAACAGTAAACAATTCAGTTTACTTAAAGGTGCAAAAAGAGGGTTGTGGGTTTTTTGACATTTAATAATTTTACAATGTGACTTAAATATCTCATATCTAGCAAGAGCTCCAACTTACAAATGTGGGGTAACTTTGTAGTTCCTTGCTTCTTTTGAACTGATATGTGTTATTTTGTGTCTGAAAATTAATCCAGGACTTTTCTTTTGTTTGCAGTCCACTTCTGAAAATTTTTCTGCAACCAGTAAGAAGGCATTAGTGGACAACGTTGACATGTGCTGTTCAAGTAGGCAATCTAACAAAGGCCTTCCTGTTGAACTCAAGGGAGAAACAGAGAAAAACCCTGGGACTTCAGGCCAAGGAACAGCCAAATCCACTAAGTCCACAGCCTTCTCTAGAATCAAAAAGCAACCCTAAAGTTTCTGCCAGTGCTGGACAGTACAGAAACAAAGCTGCTCTTGTTAGCGCTAAAATGAGGGGAGAGGAAGGGAAGAGGACAGCACTCTGCTGAGCTAGCAGCCTTCTAGCTCCTCTGAGCCCTGCTGTGTGTTTTGTATCAGGTTAAAATTGAAGCTAGTCATCTCCAAAGCAGTCTAACCTGCATGTTAAAGGACAGCCACCAATAGACTTGGCATTGGCAGCAGCTGAAATCAACTCAAGATGTATGTGAGGGTTGTTTAGGGGGGACAGATGCCCTTAATGCAAGGCTGTGGGCATACTTGCTCAGTTTTACTTCACATTCTTATATTTAGGCACAATTGTTTATAGGGAAAAACAAGAGGCCCGATATGGTAATGGAGGTTCCAAATAATTATTTGCACTTTGCACTAGAAGTCTTTGTTAGAAAATAACTAATAAACTTGCCATAGGCATTACACAGAGGTGCTTCAGTCATTCAGATGTGTTCTTGTGATTTTAGTTTGCTATAGATTGTTTAAAACAACTTATTTTCAGCATAAAAATAAGAGATTTTGTAACTGATTGCCATTAACTTGCTGCTAAATTCCCAGTGTATTGATTAAATCAATAAAAGACAGATGTTACCCATGCACACTAATTTTTGTATTAACAAGAGGTGAATATAATGAGGCCCTTTATGCAAGTTATGAGCATGGCCGTCTACTGCAGTGGTAGGCACGCTTCCGTGGGGAAGGTCATGAGGCTGGGTACAGAGGAAAATACATTGCAACCCCCTTAGAGGGATCTCCTTTCCACCTGCCAGAGTCAAACTGGGTGTATAGATGCTTCTCTCAGCTTCACAAGCAAACTCTAAATAAATACTTCACAATTGCTTTTACTTTTATCAAGTAGTAACCTAGTTTCCTTCCAACCCCCCTGTGGAATTGTCAGTTAGGGCTCCAAACTGGCCCACTTCTGGCCAGCTAAGCATGTACTAGTTGTATTCAAATCCACTCAGTGGCTAAAGTGGTGGTACATGTGCTTCTTGCATTGTATCTAGAAGACACTTGTGGTTCTGAATGGGTCAGAGTTAACACTGGCTTATGTCATCCCTGGTTAAGTGGTTCTTCCAGTATTTTTTTAGTAACTTTAATGTGCTTCTCTTTAGGGAACCTGCTGTCCAAAGCATATTTAGTGTAAATTGTCTATTTTATTTCACACTGGAGCTGACGTAGCTTCTTCAAGGTCTTTCTTCTTGATTATTATATCCGGTCTATCAGGAGCCCATAAGCCATATCCTGAGCTTGAAGCATTCTCTCAGGGTTTAGTGAGCCAGTCCTTAAAGAGTGTGTTCTGTTCCCCAATGAGACTCCTTGCCTCATGAGGCAAGTGGAGACTTCCCTTCCCTAGTAGCAAACGAAGTAGAGACTTGCCTTCCCCAGAGGCAGAGATGAGAGCTGCATTTCTGTCATCTCTGGCTGGGAAGAGCAGGGACCTAGTGCTTAATGGAGTTGCCTAGTGACTGCTGCTCTCGTGCAGAGAAGCCAGCCAAAACAGTGGCTCTGCTTCTGCCTATTCTCTGAGCTTGAAAATGAAATATTCCCTGTATTTACTTTTATAGTGATGTTGTCTGTTGGGATTAGAAGATTTTGTTGGTAAATGCAGTACTATCCACATTTCTCTTGGCCCTAAAAATTAGTGATTCTGCTCAGTAAGTTTGAACAAAGGTCCAAAGCGAACCACTAACTGAAAAGTAAAGTCATTTTATAACATTTTAGTGTGACTGGAACCTTTTCTCACCCCACACCAGGCAAGGCCAACTATCCTTCCTACCATGAGCTTCATTTTATTAACACTTCTTTTCTAGAACTTCATTTTACTAGTATAAAATCATTATGACAAGAATTAAGGTCACTCTCTCTGAACAGGATGTCTATATTATTTTTATTTGTTATTATTTGTATGGAACATACTTGGACAAGGCCAAACTTTGTTTTCCAACTGATGTACCTCTTTAATCTCTGGGGATACGTGACCTTACTGTTTCCATTTGCTTTCATGATTGAAAAAAAGTAGCTCTTATATTTCAGATTGACTTTCAGTGACCAATAGGCCAACTCTAAGCATCAGTAACAGTCATTCTGACATCTGTGCTCTGTGGCTTGGAGAGCTGGGCTTTGCTATGACCTGAAGGTACAGACTCTGTCTAGAACAGGACAGAGGATGTATTATTTCCAAGGAATGCAAATAGTTATGAGCACTCCGACTTGAATAACAGATAAGGCAAGGCAGGCAGAATATGATAAAAGAGATACTATAATATGATACAGGCTTGGAGCTGGGGACAAGTTTAGCTGAGAAGAATAGAAGATGGTGTCAGAGAAGAAAAGAAAATGGAATGGTGGTGTGTGGACAAAAATGAAAACAGTATAATTTGTGAAGAGAATTGGATGACAGCATGTGGTTCTGGTAAACCCAACCAGGAGTCAGAGGAGGGAGGTGCTGCTCCAGGCTAGTGTGAGGTGAAATTAGGCCCCTATCCTGGGGCCTAATAAAGCCAGATAAAGATGCAAGCTAAGGAAATACGGACCCAGGGACATGGAGGCAAAGAGAGGCTGTGATCTGAAGAGCTGGCCACAGAACAGTCCTTACATTTTTAGTAGGAATATTGTATGGTGTTGGGGAGGACAAAAATAAATAAATTTAAAAAAGCATTTCGTGCTTATCACTGAAATGCTTTGTTTAAATAATTCTATTTGACTCCAAAATGTAAGTTCCAGGTTAGACAGATCAAAAGCAGCCAGTCTTGAAAATGAAGCTTTTAAAATTCCAGCCCCGCTGTTGGAACAGAGAATAAAGGCTTTGTTCAAACATGCATTCCCAGCAGTAAGCAGAGCTTTGAAATTGGCCAAGGAAGTTGTGTCCTGTAATGGCTTCACTTGGCTAGAGACCAAGGAGCTGTGGCCTCTGGGAAATGACCCTGGCTGGGTATTCTCCATCTGCCCCTCCAGAACCATTTTGCCTGCTCGGCCCTCTATGCTCAGAGAGGCTAATTTTCAGGGACAACGTTATTAGGCCCCCTTGGCTTCGGGATGTGTTGAGATTCTGCCAATGGATGCACTGACGGGAGATCAGACGGGGAGAGTGAGGTCCGGATTGGATTCCCTGGCCTGCCGTGCCAGCCTGCACAGCATTTGCTGCCTTCTCCTTCTGCGAGCCGCAGCTCCTGCCAGGCCGACCTCTCATAGCAGTGTTCCCTCCCCCAGCAGACAAGACCAGCCTATTAACCTTGTGTATTACGTCTTCCTTTGTGGGTTTCCCAGGACCCTCTCGGTGCCTTTATATTCTCTTCATTAAACCCCCGAGATCCCTGTGAGAGTCTGTGTCCGTCTTCTAGTGAGACACAAAGTGATTCAGACCCTTTCCTTATCAGTTCTGCCTTGTTTTACCCAGGGCAATTGGTTGCTACATTCCTACCGAAGTACAGTAGAGTGAAGCGCAGCAGGGTCACATGAGTTCTTCCTGGGAAAACTGATGCTACCGGGAGGGGAACCTGGGGTTGGGACTTATGCAAAGCAAAGTGAATCTAGTATTGCCCCCCTGAATCTGAAATTGTCTGCACTGGTAAAGTTTAGGAGTCTAAAGAAAGCAACTTTGTGTGTAACAGCTGAGAGGACCTCACTGCTGGGGAAGACACATGGCAGGGGTGGCGGGGGCACTGGGAGTGGGGGCAGGAGGCTCAGGTAACCTGAAGGCAAGATGGCTGCCCAGGCTCACCTTCACTTCATCTCTACAAGCACTAATAGCACTTTATAAAGGCATTTTAAAGTAAAATTTTCACTATTCAAAGGTCTCACATAGTTCAGTTTTACTCTTCAGGATCCTGTATTCTGAGTGAGCTGGCTGAGAGATGATTTTGATTTCTGTTCAGTACATTGTTATCACTTAATTCTCATTGGTGAGCCAATTTTCTTTGCCTTTGTTCTTCAAAGGGAGGCTGTATTCAGTGGCTGCCTTGCATTTTTTTGTGGCTGCCTTCCTCAGTCCTGCGTATAATCAACCCGACTCTCTTCTCACTATGTCAGTTTTCCACATTTCCCTGCATTATCTGAAGCAGCCCTCAGAGGAGTGGTGGGGGTTCCCGCCATTGCCCACTGGGAGGATTAATAGGGTCACTGCAGTGACACCACTGCAATCTCAGAGACCTGTGGACACAAGGTGAAGACCTCTGAGGACCTCCTTCCCAAAACACGCAGTGGTTCCTGGCCTGGCCCCCAGGACAGGGCCACAGACCAGTCCAGACTCCTGGTGGACCCTCTCCTAACCACATTCCACAGCCTCTTCAGACCCTATGCATGGCATTGACTCAAAGGTCACATGAGTCTTCTACCTTTGGGTAACTGAAACCTCTCTCAAGGCAAGATCCTGAAACCAAGTTACTGTTTAGGAAACCCTCTCCTCATCAGTATAGAAGGCCACTCTCTCCCCAGGAACAACTACATGGGCCAAGGAGTCAGCATTCCCTGTCTGACCAATGGTGAGGTGGTTGGGGTGGGGGTGGGGGGCAAATGGAAGATGGAGAGCAACCAAGACACTCCTGACCCCAGGAGGAAGCCGTGCTTAGAGATGGCAACCAACATGTCCTGGTTCAAGCACAGATTTACAGGGAGTTTGCTGGAATCAAAATCCTCTGGCAAGCTGAACTTTGAACTGTAAAGGATGGGATCTCTGTCCTTTAGCATGACAGAATAATAGCAATATTTTTGCAGAACACTCACTACATGCCAGACAGCATTCTAAGTACTTTGCATGTATCAATTCTTTTAATCCTTACAACAAGCTATGAGACTTTGCTAATATTATCTCTGCAGAGGAATAAATCAAGGCACAGAGAGACTAAGAAATTTGTCTAAGGTCACACAGCTAAGAAGTAGCAAAACCGAGAGTGGAACCCAGCTTCCCTGGCTCATGCCTCTCAAGACACTTGTAGTTTCGCTTCCCTGCTGTGTAGGCTCAAC